CTCGTACTCGTTAAAATGCCCCGATACCAAACACCGATACCACACAGCATGTGATAAGCGCCATATTCAAACAAAGAAACACCGACAACAGAATAACAGACAGCAGAAAGGAGTTAAGGATGTCTACTACGAAGTATATGTATGCAGTGAATATAATGTTAAACATTCAGTATTAACGCCTGTATAGCTGATGTGCGCGAGCTGATAAACGAAGCACGCTGAGTGGATTGAGATGATGTACCATAGGACAAAAAAATTAACAGTGAAAGTAACAAAAACTTGTAAAATACATTTTAATGGGCACAATTAAGTGTGAAAATAACCGAAGGATATGCAGTGAAACCAAACATGATTCAGAGACCAGATATAATTTTTGATATTTTTTTACTAGTGGGTGCAGGACACTATAGTTCATTTATGTAAGTGAGGATAGCAAAATAAAGTAAACTGTGACAAATCATACCCGAAAATTCTTCATACAGTGGACTACCAGTAAAATGTATACAAATTTGGGTCAAATTTTTGGTTGAATGTAATCTATTACATATCAAAATTATCTAACATTATCAAGATGAATTTGTTCTTGTCATATTTTATTACCATTTTCTAAACTATAGCGAATAAACTGTGATAATGTGAGAAATGTTGAAGGTGTCTGAATAAATTTTGGTTTGACTGTATCTATTTGATAAATGAAGTTAACCAACTAACATTATACATACCCTTTTGGTTTCTGTACTCAATATTTAAAAAATTTACAAATGCAATAAAAATATCGGTATCGGCAAGTACCAAAAATAAAAGTATCGGTATCGGGCGAGTACTGGAAAAAGTGGTATCGGTGCATCCCTACCTAAAACCAATAAATTTTCTTGAACCCAAACAACAGTTTGCTCGAATTAAACACAAACTTGCACTGAAACAGGCGTTGTTGAGGCCATTGGAGGATAAAAAGATCCACAAAAGCTCTAAAAGAGCCACAAGCTCTGTGTGTATCAAATGAAACAATTCAAATCATGTGATTACGTGTTGCCCCTCCAGCACTTTCTGGCCTCTCTGAACCCTGCGCTGGCATCCCGTCCAACCTTGGGTGAGGAATTTGGGCGCTCATTCCTGTGAACCCATAAATTCTGTTGTGTTGTTTTGGATTTTATTTCTCGCAGCATTGTTTACCAGTCTGTGTGTGAGTAAACAGTGAGTGTGTGAGTGAGGATGATGAAGTGCACATCAGTGCATATCACACATCGGTTTTCATCAAGCAGTGTGTAAACTTGAGTTTATCTCAAATCTGTGATGAGACCCACAGAGTGCAGAATTCCTCATTCCCTGAAAGTCTCCTGCAGTTTATGCACAGTGTCTGGAATGCTCTGTAAATAATCTGATTATGTTAGTTCTGGAAAATGTCTGAGTTGCCGGTTTTTTTGAGTTTGGGTATTTCAGTGAAAAGTGTCTCTTTAGGTTGGAGTGGGGGCGAGCTTTCTCTTTTCCCAACGCTGCTTACAGTTTTAATCAATTAGTGTGAATAATACAGACCTGTTCTCCAGACGTCTTCCATTGAAGCGGCCCTGATAGAGAGATTAGAGTTTGATTCGTCATGCTTGCAGGCATCAGGGTTTAATCCTGCCGTCCTCTCATATGCTGGACAGTGGTGTGGCTTTAATCTGAACACTCTTCGCACCGTCGACATCGACTGCTTTCGTAACCCATAGGAACACTTAGGGTGCCAGATTAGGGTTCTTCAGCTTGTAACAATAGCAACACTTTTTGGTGCCAAATAGAAGCATATTTATGAGGTTCCATAAAGAAACATGCTTTGAAAGTGCTACGCTGGTGAAAAATAAATATTCTAAAATGTATGTGAAATACATTTATTTCATGCCAAGTATACACCAGATACATTTACATTTTTATGTACTTAATAAAAACACCCTGCAATTGTACTTTTGGTATACTAAACTGGTATACTTAAAGTCTGCTAAATTGGAACAACTAATTTTGTCCTTAATGCTCTTTAATTGTGCGGAAGTCCAACTAAATATATACTGAAGTATATTTTGACACACTGCTGTAAAGCTGCTTTGACGCAATCTGCATTGTAAAAAGCGCTATATAAATAATGGTGACTTGACTGACTATATTTGATTGTGCATCTTGCATTTACAGACCGATATTAATTTACTTTTTGTTTATTTACTTTGTGGAACCATTTTTGGAACCTTTCAGTAAGAAGTGAACCATGTTTTCCTTAATGTGAAGATTATTTTAATGATCTAAAGAACCTTTTTCCATTATAAAGAACATTTTGTGAGAGATTCTTAATGGAACCATTAATGCCAATAAAGAACCTTTATTTTTTTAAGTAAAGAAGCTTTTAAAGAACCATCTCTTTGTGTTAATTGGCAATACGGAGTGCTTCAAGAGCAGTGTAAATATAACACATGGCTGGTCAATGTAAGCATTTGTTACATTTTGTCTTTTTGGGCGAGAATGTGCTTTCCTGATATTGTTGTTTTACTCCTTAGGCACATTGCGTAGTTTATAATGTTACAAAGTTACAGGTACAAACCACAGCCAGACGTTTCAAGGCCAAATAATCAGGTCTTCCTGAATTGTAAAAATACATTGTATACTTTAGGGATTTTGTTCTGCAGTCAAACATCCGCTATAGTAAAATTAAACACAATTTACAAGAGCCTTTAAATATTAAAACAGCTTCTATTACCAGAGATCCTTGTCTCTGAAGTGGCCTCAGATGATGTGAAAGGCGTCCTGATGAAACTCAGAAGCAGCACAAGCCATAAACAGCCAGGACGAGAAAAGCCTCTGATGGCTAGGAACAGTTAGTGCATGTATTTATTTATTTTAAAATGTTGCTCCACACATTGTACAGAACATGTGAAATAAACATAATGCATTGTTTCTCTGGCCAGGGAAACATGCCTCCTCCTCCAGACAGTGTTTATTATATCTGCGTAAATATAAGCCTCGTTAAAATGTATTTAGTTGATTAGATTTTTTTATGCTTTTAAAAGAAGTCTCACCAAGGCTGCATTTATTTGATCAAAATGCAGTAAAAACAGTAATATTGTTACAATCTAAAATAACTGTTTAACTACTGTAAACTGTAATGTATTTCTGTGATGCGCAGCTGTATTTTCAGCATCATTCCTCCAGTCTTCAGTGTCACATGATCTTCAGAAATCAGTATAATATGCTGATTTGCTGCTCAAGAAACAT